CTGGTACATTAACTGCAATCGAGTTTTGAAAGGTCTCTGGTTGCTAGAAGGAAATTAGCCTGATAAATTGCTCTTTTCAATTAAACAAATGGGTAATTTTTCACAAGCAAGCTCAGAAGCTATCATTTGGGGAGCTTTTTTCCCCCCTTTTTTATTTTTATTTTAGTATATTACACGTGATTGTTCCTCAAGAACTGATTTTTTTTTTTTTTTCCGAAGAGGCTAATTGTCCCTGAAGTGTAAGCAGCTTGTAAACTCATCCTGTCTCTCTGCCTCCGACAACCCCATAGTGGTCTCGTGATCAAGCAGTGGCCTATGAATTGTACTTCCAAAATGACAGTGACTGATGGTGTGACCTTGGCTCATTGCCTGCCTTTCTGTGCCTTTGTTTACCTGTTTGTCTAAAGAAGCATTAACCTCTCTGGGTCAAAAAGGCCTGTTTAACTTAAGCAAGGAGTTCCAAGGTAATTATAGTTACTCAGTAACTTTCATCTCAGAGCGAACTGATTAAGGAGGCTAAAAAATGTGGTGGCTTCCCTTTTGGTCAAAATCAGCGACTGACCTGAAGGTACCTCTGTCCTCAAACCTTTAAACAGAATCTGCATTCAAAAGCACAGCTTAGGAGCTGAAACAGATTGCTGTATCCCTTATGTACTGAGTCTAAAAGGGACCCCAGAAACACACACTGACCCTGGTTTCACACCAGAGCTACAGATGTGCTAAGAACTTCATATGCTCCATCTACTAAAGAAAAGCAAATGCTAGTACAAACAACTGCAACACTGGATTCATCTTGCCTTGAGCATATTTACCCAGGCTATTGCCATTACATCATTTGCATTAGGCCTTTATTATCTGCTATTTTAGATCTTAGAAGCTGTTACAAGCCCTGATCAGAGGTCAAGATGCTGTTGAACTTCAGATCTTTCTGAAAGAAGAAATTCTGCCAACAGCAGAGCAATGTTAAATTTACAGCAGTGTAATGTCATACAAATCATGAGAAAAAATGTAATCTAAATTGTATTTATTTTTAAAAATGAGGTTTTGTTGCCAAAAATATAGACACTGCATGTTAAAATCCATGTGGAAAAGACTACTGTACCGTCATCTTTGAGAACTAAACAAGGTATTTTGGGGCTTTTTTATGCTATCAGAAAAGACCACAAATTATTTAAAAACAAACTTCCACCATCTAAATAAAATAACACCGAAATATCTTGCTGTAGTTCGGAGTAACTGCATAAAACATGACTCACATGTTTAGAAATTCTCCTTTATCTTTCCTCTGTGTGCAGCACTGATCTTCATGAACTGTTTGTCACAGTGCGTAATTACATTCCTTTCACCTAAACTGTGTCTACATATTTTAAATTTCTATTTCCAGAAGCTGATTGCTGTTGAGTGTTTCAGTTTGGTTTGGAAGAAATCTGCATGCAGTCACTTGGGTGGTGGACTTCAGTGTGCTTTATGAGAAATTTTGCGCTCAGACAAAATGCAGACTCAGAAGAGCAGAGTCTACCAGAAGACTGTTGGTGACCTGTATTTTGATTGTCACTGACAGAAATGTTTGAGGCAAAAATACAGACCACCTCCTTGAACTCAAGTTTTTCATAAAACACTGCATTCCTTCTGAGGACCTCACTTCCAGACAAACAGTGCTCCAGAGAAAGCAGGAGATGGCTCTTGTACTGCTCACCAGTGGGAAGGTCCTTGTGATTGTGAGCAGAAGCCAAGATATCTGACAAGTGCCTGTCAGTCCAAGTACAGTCTGTATTCTTCTGCTGGAGAACCCCCACCTCCTCTGGCCTGAAGGCTTCAAACCCCAAATTCTGTTTGGTGTTATGGCTGTTATCTGACCTAGAAATCTCATCTACTTATGACAGCTCATAAGCACTCTGCTTGCCATCCAGGCAGGGAATGGGTTTTGGTTTAAATGAAAAGGTGCAGTTACATCATCTTGCACAACAGGTCCCTGCTCTGTGTCTGGGCCAAGCGAGTCCTCTCAAGCTGGAAGAACATGGAAAACTTGGAATTGCAGTAATAAAAAAATATTATAGCACGTTATGTATAATAACAACACATTCTAGCCTGCTCCCTGCATGGAATCTCCCAGGTATACCTGACAACAAAGGATAGAGAGATCTGAATACTAATAACAGCTGGAGGAGGGGGCCCTTAATAGTATTTTGGCTAATTGCCAGGTTGCCTGCTCTTGAAAAATTTTCCTGTGCTGAGCTAGACACATTTTTCATGTGTAGAAAATTAGGTTGTTGGTAGGACTTTGTATTTTCCTAATGCTTCCTACAGTCAGCTGTGTGAAGGTTGACGATAGCCATGAGATCTGTGTTTCTAGCTCAAAGGCCTTCAGGCCTTCTTTGAAAGACTTGGAAAATCATAGCAGCTGAACAGGCACTGGAAAGAAATTGCAATTTTGGAGAGCTCCAGATGTAAACTTAGAAAATGAAAAAGTATTTTTGTATTTTGTGTGTTTGGGTGTTTTGTTGTTTTTTTTTTCTTGTTTGCTCGATTCTTCTTTTTTTAGTAAATACAGATGACTAACTCAGGGCCTCTTTTCTCCTACCCTGAAGGAAGAACAAAGTCTCTGATGATTTGCTTGTTCAAAAGGTCTGCACTGATTTTACCTTTAGGTCTGTGCTACCATTTCTCATTGTTTCATTGTAAGCATTTTCTGTGGTAATTAGACTGTAATAGCATAATCCCTCGTGGCCTTCCTGGAGTGTCTGGCCTCTCTGGGTTGAGAAAGCTCTGCTTAGTGACAACATATTTTCCTCTAAGTGGGAAGGGGAAGAGTTGATGTTGTGAATGGTGTACTGATTATGATGGAAAATCTCTTTAAAGAGGGAAGTTTTGCAGCATTTCCTAAAAGTGATTCAGGCTACATTTGTGTGATTTCCTCTGGAAGTTCACAGCAACCAAGATGGTGCATGTTTATTTTGTCTCTGGCTGCTTCCTTCTGGACTCGATGGTCTGCATTGTCCCAGAGGAACACAGATATCTCTGTGATTTGTAGATGCAGGTGCAGGCATTTGTTGTAGCTGGGCACAGATACATTCAGAGCTTTGAAGTCCAAGACCTTGAACTGGCAGTGGAAGCAGATTAAAAATCCTCTTTAGCTTCCTAAAATGCAATGCCTAGAGTCATCTGAGCTGTTGTGTAAGGCAAAGAAAGAAAACTAGCTTTTTAAAGGCTTCTAAAAAATGAAGTAGAGATTTGATATTTTATCTTGATTGCATTTCCTCTGAATGATTTTGACAAACTATTGATGTGAATGACTCTAATTTCAAGGTTTTTTTCTTGGGAAATAACAAAATTAAGACAGCCTTTCAAAGTATGGCCACAGGCAGAGGAAGAACAGATGTGTCCAGGGGAGAAATACAGCCATTCCATGGGAATTAATGGAATAGAAAGGCCTCAGAAATCCTGGTTTTGGAAGCTTGTCCCCAGACAAGGAATTTCTGCAACAAGAACTGAGGTCCTAAAACCTTAACTTGCAACTGCAGAAGCTCTTCCTTCTCTGTAAGGAGAAGGAATGGCTTGAAGTGGGGCTTGGCTAACTGAGCTCTCATCTTGTGCCCTTGGACACATCCCGTGCCTCAGTTTTCCTCTGTGCAGAATGGAAGGGTTGCTATTAATGGTCTTTAGAAAGCTTATTTCAGATCTACTTGTGAAAAGGGTCATAGTGACTAGGGGGTGGTGGTGTGTTCCTGGCAGAATCAGTGTCACCTGAAGTCAGAGGGAGCCTTGCACAGAATCTGAATCAGGTTTACAGCCCAAGTCCTGCTTTACAAACACCCCAAGACTGAATTTAATTGCTGTGTTAACGTGGTACCAGTGAGGTGCAGTGTTCACAAACAGCGTGGCTGCAGTTGGTTGGTGTCATGACATTCCCAGTGCCAGAGCAGCCCCGTTTCTGGGGTGCTGGTTTGGAGGTTCATCCCTTCCTACCTCTATTCAGCCTCCTTGTGTTGAGGAGTGAGGCAAGAACTGGGATGAACAGGCCATTCACCCTTCCAGCATTACAACTGTCACACACACAAGGCTGGTTTTATATTCTTGACAGCTGTGATTTTACCTCTGTAACACTTCCATGCAGAGGGATGTGGACAGGATGGATAGATGGGCTGAATCCAATTATATGATGTTTAACAAGACCAAGTGCCGGGTCCTGCACTTTGGCCACAACACTCCACGCAGTTCTACAGGCTGGGGACAGAGTGGCTTGAGAGCAGCCAGGCAGGAAGGGACCTGGGAGTTTGGATTGACAGGAAACTGAACATGAGCCAGAGTGTGCCCAGGTGGCCAAGAAGGCCAATGGCATCCTGGCCTGGATCAGGAACAGTGTGGCAGCAGGAGCAGGGAAGTGATTCTTCCCCTGGACTCAGCGCTGGTGAGGCCACCCCTGGAGTGCTGTGTCCAGTTCTGGGCCCTCAGTTCAGGAAGGATATTGAGGTGCTGCAGCAGGTCCAAAGAAGGGCAACAAGGCTGGTGAAGGGACTGGAGCACAAGTGCTGTGAGGAGAGGCTGAGGGAGCTGGGGTTGTTTAGCCTGGAGAAGAGGAGGCTCAGGGGAGACCTGACAGGAGGTTGTAGCCAGGTGGGGGTCGGTCTCTTTTCCAGGAAACTAGCAGTAGAACAAGAGGGCATGGTCTTAAACTGCACCAGGGGAGGTTTAGATTAGACATTAGGAAGAAATTCTTTACAGAGTGAGTGATCAGACATTGTAATGGGCTGCCCAAGGAGGTGGTGGATTCACCGTCCCTGAAGGTGTTTAAGAAGAGACTGGATGTGGCAGTCAGTGTCATGGTCTAGTTGACAAGGTGGTGTTGGGTCATAGGTTGTATTTGACGATCTCAGAGGTCTTTTCCAACCCGGTTGATCCCGTGATCCCGTCCCATCCCGCCGGGGCGGCGCGGACTCCAAGGCCCGGCATGCGGCGGGGCGCGGCGCAGGCGCAGGGCTGGGCTTGAGTGGCAAGTTGTTTGTTCCAGCGAGCACCAGCTGCTCGGCGCCCCGGGCTCCGCTGCTCCTGCCCGGCTCCGCTCCGCCGGCCTCCCCCCGCCCAACTTCGGCACCCTCCGCTCCCTCATCTCCCAGCCCCCGGAGCCGGGAAGGGGCAGAAGGAATCGAGGGGAGGCGGGGGAGGAACACAAAAAAAAAAAAAAAAAAGAAAAAAAAAGGCACCGACAATAACAGCCCCCTCCCCCTCCCCATTCAAAACCACAAAATAAACCCCAGGAATAGATGAACTACAAATGAGAAAGAGGAAAAGATGGAACTGCACATCCTAGAGCACAGGCTCAGAGTGGCCAGCATAGCCAAGGAGAACATCCAGTTGTTTACCTATGGATTAATCAAACTTGCTTTCCTGTCCTCCAAGACGAGGTAGGTGCTGGGGATGGGGCAGTGCGGGGGCGGGGGCGCCCTCCTTGCGAAGGGACGTACCCTCCTTGCTGCAAGGGGGCTCGGGGCTGCAGGGTACCCTCCTTCCCGCACAGGGGCTGGGGTGGGGATGTCTACCTGGCAAGTGAGCACAGCAGCCTCCTTCTTGCAAAGGGGGTGGGTTGATGGGTGCTCTTAAAAAAAGACTAAAACCCAACCAAACAAAAAAGCCATCCCCTCCTGGGATGGAGGACACCCCTCCTTGCAAGGGGGCAGGGTGTTGGGGTAGGGGACGCCCTCCTTCCTGCAAATGGGCACGGTGCTGAAGGAGGGGGACACCCTCCTTGTAACGGGGCAGGGTGCCGGGGTGGGGGAGGGCACCCTCCTTGAGGAGTCAGGGCGCTGGGTGAGGGGGGACGCCCCCTCGCCAGAAAGCAGGGGGTCTTGGGCGTGGAGGAACACCTGGGTCTTCCCTACTCACACCCACCATCCCAGGACTGGGAGATGGTGATGCAGGTTAGCGCTCAAGTTCGGGGTGTCCCAGCCCGGCTTTGGGGCACCCCCCGCGGGCAGCCCGGCCGGGCCGGGCCGGGCCGGATGAATGGAACAGGTGGGGGCCGGGGGGCCCGGCCGGGCCGGACAACAAAGGCAACAACAGCGGCCCGAGGAGGAGGAGGAGGAGGAGGAGGAGTGGTGGTGGGGTTTTTTCTCTCGCGCGCTCTCTGTTTTCTGGGGTTTTTTTGTTTGGTTTGGTTTTTTTTTCCCCTGGTTGTTGTTCCCTGCAGTACTTAAAACGAAGCCTCCACACGCGGGTTTGTTTAAAAGGTGCATGCCTTGCACTTGAAAATTATGATATTGAGTAATATGGATTGTTATAGCTTTCAGGAAAAGAAAAAAAAAAAAGAAAGAAAAATGTAGTAGAAGGCACTGTGAGAATTTTTTTTTTTTTTTTTAAGAAGAGGAAACAAAATAGTGTGGACAGTTTATTGAATGTATGTAAGGTGCTAGGCCTGTCGCACAAAACAACTTGAATTGTAATCAATCACGTATTCTTCTGTCTTCACTTAGCTTGGTGACTTTGGTCTGTACAGAAAAAGAAATGGGAATGTAAATAACACGACACAAATTCTTCTTGTTTTTCCAACCTGATAATTAGTATTTCAATTTTCTCCCCACATTCATCTTGAATAGCATTCTTGTATGAAGGTGGGAAGTTTTCTTTGGCTGCAGGAAAATAATAAATAGATAATAAATTTACTTTTTATTTCTTAAATTGTTTTATTCCAATTCAATCCTCTCTCTGTTATAATGTTTATGGATGAATGGAGCTATTTGTGATGTAATTTGATCACAATCCCTTATCTTATGCATTGAAATTTCACTCTGATTTGGGGCTCATCCCATTTGGCTCACCACTGACATTGTTTGCAGTATAAAGTGTATCAGCACCTTGTTTACTGCTGTCCCTGAATACTCCATGGGACATTAAAATAGAAATGTATGACTGAAGAGCCTTTAATGTGTTGTTTTATTGTAATTGAAAGTCGCTGCTGATTTTTTTGAAGGACTTGTTGCTCCCCTTCCCATGCTTAAAATGTCACTGTTAACATCAGTAGGGAAGTCTTTAAATCTGTCACTCCTAATGCATAGACTGGAGTTTTGGGGGTTGTTTTTCTAGGGTATTATTATTATATTTTATTTTTCTTTTTTAAACTTCAAGGATGGTCCTGTTGTCTTTTTGTTTCACACTAAATTTCACATCTTCAATGTTAAAGAGCTGTGAAAGGATCAAGGCAGTAAGATAACCCCTTTGGGGTGTGATACCTTGTCCTGCATTTGGGTGCAGCACTTGGCAGTTTCATGTTGTCTTTGGTTGCTGTGGTGTCTGTCCCTTTCCATATACACTGTGAGTATCAATCTTTTCCTTAGCTTTTGTGGAATCTTACTGATCAGGAAGAGTAAATGTTTGTGTAAAAGTTTGTTGGCACAGGAAGCCTCTATTTATTTCCCTTTTGTTTGTTTTATTATTTTTGCAGACAGTGGAGATGCAGGGGAGAGAAGGGAAAGTTTGTGTCATTCTTAAGACAACTGACAGCACTGAAACCTTGCTTTTTCCCTTGTGCTTTTGCTTGCCCTGATGCAAACAAGGTCCCTGCCCCACAGACCTCTCTGATGAACACCATGTGTATGAGGAAGGTGAGGGTCTCCGGGAGATGTAGCTCCATAAATTTATGATCCCACTGTTTCTTTTTCCTCCTCCTTTAAAAAGTGAACATGCCCAGGAGACAACAACTTTTTATGGGGGTGCAAGAGGGATCTCCCTTCCTGACCACCCTGTCTACAAAGGACCCATTAGGGGGTGAAAGGGGAAGGTGGCCCACATCCCTGCTAACCTTTTCTGATGAGATAGCAAAGATGCCAGTTACTTACACTACCTGCATTTTTCCCAGTGAGACCTTAAACGGAGTTTTTACCGGTGCTGCAAGGCTACCAGTAAGAAATAATGATTTGAGATCCAAAGGGATGGCAGTGACATCATCAGTATTCTGATGCTGGTTATGCAAGAAACTAGAGTTTTTACATAGCCTCCTGTGAGAAGTGATTTGGAGGGTCTCTTTTATGTTTTTCTTAATCCTCTTGGGAAGAAAAAGTTACAAATCTTCCTCTTCATTTGGCCTTTTGCTACTCTCAGTCTGCCCTTGTTCATGACACGAGTCCTTTAATTTAGCTTCTGTTACAATAACAATATTTTTTGTAACAAAGAACAGCAATTTTAAAACTATTCCGATGGCTGGAAGCAAGACAGCAGTTAACAAGGTGAAGAGGTGAGACCAGTAGAGAATAAAACAGTGAGCTAAACTGAGCTGAAAGAAAAACACTATTAATCATAACTGTGTTAGGCATGACTTTTTTATGCAAAGTTGCATTAAGAGAGGTACTTCAGGAATAAATAATAGTGGAACTCCTGAGCAGTTACACTGAGCACTGTGCTCTTGGTGCTCTGCTTGTGTCAGTGCAGACCTGCTGATTCCAACTGGCTCTGCCAGGTACCCCAGTGGAGGAACAGATCCGTGTCATTTTTAGTTGCATTTTGCTGTTCCTGTCATCGTCATTCTGGTGTTTTACTTTGTGTTGGTTGGAGCGTGTTGCTAATAATGTCAGGGTCGTGGGTTCAATCACCATACAGGTAATTCGCTTCAGGGTTGGACTCTGTGATCCCTGTGGGTCCCTTTCAAGTCAGATTACTCTGGGACTCTGTCTGACTTGAGGATTTTTACCTATTCAGAAGGTGTGCAGTGTGTTTAGGTATGTAAATATAACAACTGTGTGTGGCTTCACCATTGCATCCTTTTCCTTTTGCACGTGCCTCTGTAAATGTTAGTTCTCTGGGGCGCAGAACTGTGCTCATCTGGGAACTCCCACCTTCAGCCTGTGTGCTGCAGAGCAAGCGGCTTCCCTCCCATCAAAACTGCCTTCACTTCCTTGGTCAGAGTTAAACTGTCTTGGGACACGTGACACAAGTAACCTGCTTGAAGACTTGATAGACATACTAATGTGTTGCTATGTTCCTGTCTTGATTTTTTTTTTTTCCTAATGGCAAAATATTATGTAACTGCATCTCATTTTAGTGCATAGGAATTAAATCTGAATAGAGGGGAAGGACAGCCTGGAATGATGTTTGCACTGAGCCACTAGTGCATGCAATAGGGAGAAGGAAGGTGAGCCTGACATTGTCTTTTGAGTGTATATAAAAATATATGGAGGGTCTAGGAGGATAAAGTGGGGTCAGGGTTCTTCCAAGCACTGTATTTTATATGATGTAATTAGCCTCATTTCTGGGTAATGCTTTGGTAGACCCCTGAACATCTGGAGTCAGTGAGTTAAAAAGTAGCCTTTCCTGTCTATTTCAGTACCTCATATAAAGATTTGGTGGTAAACAGTGAAATAAAGTAGTTGAGGGAAAAAGGTATATTATTTAAATTGTAATGCTATTCAGTTATAACCAGAATGAATCAGAACGGTTAGTTTGTTCACAGGGCTGGGTGGTTAAAGTAATTGTAGGTCGTTTGTCTGGCATCACAAACTTTAAAAATCTCAGAGGGTTTTTTGTTACTCTTTGGTTTGAGGTGGTCATTAGGTCAACACACTGAAGAGAAGGAACAAGTTCTGTATGTGTAAAGGATGAGATTTTGGTCACAGAAGTTTCTAAGGCTGCCATTCCAAAAGCATCTGTCACTCTTGGTTCTTTTTCAAGATGCTCTGATCTTCTTCTGAAGGTACAGTTTGTGTATATTGGTGACTTGAAGCAGAATTACAGGCACTTTGCAAGCTTGCAGGTTTGGCACTAAATACAGACGGCTGGCCATGCGAGTGAGATGCTTCCCGGAGGAGCCAGGCTGGGCTCTGCCCCAGCCTCGATTCTGCTTGTCACTCACCTCTACCATGGGATGCTCAGAGGCAGGAGGTATTCTTAGTGTGGAGAGGAGCTTAAAAATATTCATTCTACTAAAAATGTAGGAAGAAGTGAAAACTATGATAAACTGTACGGAATAAGTTGAATTTTTTTTCTTTAGTTTGTGAACAAAAACCATAATTTTGTGTTGGTATGTTTGGTAATCTATCTGGTTTGCTTAGAAGTAATTGACACCTCTACTTATGAACAGTGTGCTGTTGCTATTAATATAAGTGTTTCTCATTCCCTGATCAGTTGTTTACTGTCTAGGTGTCCTGAAATTGGAGATACTGTAATAAAAGATCTATTTTGGATTTCAGGAAATAATAGGACAAACAAGTGCTTAAAATGTATCCATGCATCATTTAAAGACACTCAAGAGATCAGCAGCCTGTTTCCTTTGGTATGAACTCAGAAAAACGTGTCTTCTATGCCCTTGTATGAGATACGGATTGGTTTGCAACCCTGCATGATTATGTGGCAAAGACAACTCCTGTAGTTAAAACCTTTTTTTTTTCTTGTGGCTTCTGCCATCTTGTGCATCCAAGGA